TCTAAAGAGATCAGGGTGAGCTCCAGTCATGATCAGCCAAGATGAAAATGTCAAGCTAGGTTCAGGGGACATTAGGGCGTTACTGCAGGCTCACGAGGAAGGGAGTAGCCAGTTGAAGGTTGAGGTGTAGAAACAAGAACATTGAAGGCCCTCACAGCACCGCATTTCCCAGGGAGGAAGGGGTGCTTAGGCCCAGATCAGCTCAGGTGGCAGAGTAAGCCTTACAGCTCCTCCTGAAATCCAAGATCTGGAGCCAGGTCTGAGATGGATGAAAGGGAAGGAAAACATCTGCTCTCTGCAGGATTTACTTTCCTTTGAGACCCTGTTAATCCAAAGACCAGACCACAAAGGGATTTTCTCTGATCTGGTTGCTTTGCATTCTCTCTGTTCTGAGAAGGGAGAAGTGGGGGGAATGCCAAGATGCTATGTCCCTTCTCCATGGTCCAGAGTACAGTGTGAGCTGAGAGAAAAGCAAGATACTGCACACACACACACACACACACACACACACACACACACACCTTTAAAATTTTCCGATATGCTTTTTAAAATACGCTTGCGGAAAATGCTACCATATTTCAAATCATCTTCTATATTTAATAGAAGACAATGGGGCATGAATCTTGGAAAACGTGAGCTCTCTTGGACTCCTGTTTGGTGACTGGCCACACCCCCATACAGCTGCTTTCTTTCTCCAAAGCTCCTCATCTTGGTGTCCCACAAACTATCCTTCCAGAATTTGTTTCACCCTCGAATGCCTACAGTTGTTCCAGGGGTCAGCTGGCTCTGTGTGATCCTCCTGGTGCGCTTTCACAGACCACAGCCCCAGGTCTGAGGGGCGGGGAGGGGAGGTATGCACAAAGCTCTCCTGTGCTGATCATGCTGCCTGAAGTTCTCAGCTTCAGCCACGCACTGGAAACACTTGAGAGCTGATAACTCTGGGCTCGGTGGTCTAGAGTAAGGCTGACAAATCAGGATGATTAAAAATCCAGAGTATATAAAGAACTCAAGAATTTACAGCAACAAATCAAGTAATCCAGTTTTAAAAATGGGGTACAGAGCTAAACAGAGAATTCTCAATAGAGGAATATAGAATGCCGAAAAATACTTAAAGAAATGCTCAACGTCCTTAGTCATCAGGGAAATGCAAATCAAAACTACCCTGGGATTTCACCTTATACCAATCAGAATGGCTAAGATCAAAAACTTAAGGGACAACACATGCTGGAGAGGATGTGGAGAAAGGGAGCCCTCCTCCATTGCTGGTGGGAGTGTAAACTTGTACAACCACTTTAGAAATCAGTCTGGTGCTTTCTCAGACAATTAGGAATAGTCCTACCTCAAGATCAAGCTTTACCACTCCTAGGCATACATCCAAAATATGCTCAAGTACACAACAAGGACATTTGCTCAACCAAGTTTGTAGCAGCTTTATTCATAATAGCCAGAAGCTGGAAACAGCCCAGATGTCCCTCAACGTAGAAATGAATACAGAAATTATGGTACATTTGCACAATGGAATACTGCTCAGCAATTAAAACAAGGAAATAATGAAATTTGCTGGTAAATGGTGGGAACTAGAAAAGATCATCCTGAGTGAGGTATCAGGTATCCCAGAAGCAGAAAGACACACATGTTATATACTCACTTATAAGTGGATATATATATATATATATATATGACATATATATTATATATATTAGACATATATATAAATATATATTAGACATATATAAATATATATTAGACATATATATATAAATATATATATTAGACATATAATATAGGATAAATGTACTAAAATCTGTACACCTAAGCAAGAAGGAAGATTTTGGGTAAGATGCTCAATCCTCATTCAGAAAGGCAAATGGGATGGACATCAGAAGAGGGAGAAAACAGGGAACAGGACAGGAGCCTACCACAGAGGGCCTCTGAAAGACTCTACCTAGTAGATGCTGAGGCTCATAGCCAAACTTTGGTCAGAGTGCAGGGAATCTTATGAAAAAAGGGGGAGATAGAAAGATCTGGAGGAAACAGGAGCTCCACAAGGAGAGCAACAGAACCAAAAAATATGGCCCAGGGGTCTTTTCTGAGACTGCTACTCCAAGCAAGGACCATTCTGGAGATAATCTAGAACCCCTGCACAGATGTAGCCCACGGCAGCTCAGTGTCCAAGTGGGTTCCCTAGTTAGGGGAACAGGGACTGTCTCTGGCATGAACTCAGTGGCTGGCTCTCTGATGGCCTCCCCCTGGGTGGGTGCAGCCTTCCCAGGCCACAGAGGAAGACAATGCAGACAGTCCTGATGAGACCTGATAAACTAGGGTTAGCTGGAAGAGGAGGAGGACCTACGCTATCAGAGGACTGGGGGAGGGGCATAGGAAGAGAAGAGGAGAGAACGAGGGAGGGGGCTACAGCTGGGATACAAAGTGAATAAATTGTAATAAATAAAAATGTTAATTAAAATAATCTGCATGATTCCACTCCCAAGCTTAATTAAAGCCACTTCTTTAGTTTAGCCTTTCATGGAGACATAATGCGCGATCACTTGCCCACGTACTCATTAAGGAAGACGGCTTGATGATCGGTGGCGGTGTGCATTGTGGCCTGTGGGGTTGGCATTGCTGCTCTGATTCCCAGCAGATGAGAATCACCCCCGCTGGCTGGCGTACTTGCTGAGCTTAGGTGAAGGAAGAAGGCAGGCCACCAGAAACCACAGCGCTCCCCTCCTGCTCTTCTCCCATGTTTAAGGCAGGAGGGCACAGGGTGCTGGACTGAAAGAGAAGGCGGGGGACTTTCTGTTTGCTGGGCAGTGAGGCTGCCAGTCAGAATGGCCACTATCAGTCCACATAGGAGAAAAGGGAACACGTGAATGGTGGAAACACACTTTGGCAGTTAGTTTTATGGAAAGCAGTATGAGCATCCCCACGCCCTTCAAATTAGAAAAAAAAAAAAAAAAAGGAACCACCATGTGACCCAGCAATACCAGTAGTGGACATATGCGGAAGGAAACGCAGGGACAGCGGTATTCCCACGTTTACCGCAGCACTGCCCGTAGGAGCAAAGAAAAGGAAACAACCTGTGTCCACAACCAGAGGACAGAAAAGTAATGTGATACAGACAAATGGCAGAATCCTAACCAGTCATTAAAAACATAGCAGGATGTTTAAGGAAGTAGGGGAAGAAGGATGGGGAAAGATTGATCAATAATTAATAAATTACTGGAATTTTTGCTTTTCTCCATTTTTATTGAAAATATATATTTTTCCACACAATATATGGTCTTCCTCTCACAACTCCTCCCAGATCCTCCCCACCTCCCCACCCACTCTTTGCTCTCTCTCCCTCTAAGAAAATAGCCTTCTTTAAAAAAGGAAGAATAAAAGAAATACAATAAAAACCAGAACAGGCAAAACAAACAGACAAAAAAGAACTGAAGAAAAAGCACATGAAGCATACATAGGCATGGACAGGCACACATTTAGACACACAGAAACCCCATAAAACACAAAATCAGAAACCATACTATGTAAGCAAAAGACCTGTAAGGTACAAACATGCCCAGACAAAGTCTGAGACAAAAACTTCTAAAATATCATTGAGGGTTTTTGTGTGTGTGTGTGTGTGTGTGTGTGTGTGTGTGT